GTGTTGTATGGAAACCAATTTGACAATTTCATATATTAAAAAATAAATAAATAAATAAAGGAAAGATTTTCTATAATATAATCAAATGCGTCTCTCTGTGTGGTACTTTAATATTGTAACAGAGCTATTGTTATTGTTGTTCTATAATATAAATTTGTCTAGACACCTTTAAAATAATTCAGTAAAATTTAAATTTTTATTTATAACATAATTGAAATGATAATTATCTGCTGAGTTGAATAACCTAAAAATTATATGATTTCAGGAGTGCCTGGGTAGCTCAGTTGGTTAAGCGACAGACTCTCGATTTTGGCTCAGGTCAAAATCTCACGATTGAGATTGAGCCCTGCATCAGACTCTGAACTGAGCGTGGAGCCTGCTTGGGATTCTCTCTCTGCCCCTCCCCTCCTTGCCAACACGCATGCACTCTCTCTCTTTCTCCCTCAAAATAAATAAACATTTATAAAAACTTTATGATTTCAAGCAAATTACTTTATAGCTGTCAGCTTTAGTTTCCTCATGTATAAAACAAGGACATTTGTGTACACAATTTTAAGGATAAAATATATAATATACATGAAGCACTTGGCATACCTGCCTGGCATATAGTAAAACTTAATAAATGTCAGCTAAATATTATTATGGCTTATTTTCAATAACTAATAGGGAACAGTGATGATCTAGTTGAAGCATATAGCACAGAGATTAAAAGCATAGTTTTTGTTTTTTTTTTCAAAAATAAACATAAAAAAATTTTTTTAAAAAAAGGGGCCCCTGGGTGGCTCAGTCAGCAGAGCGTCTGACTTCAGCTCAGGTCATGATCTTGCGGTTTGTGAGTTCGAGCCCCACGTTGGACTCTGTGCTGACAGCTCAGAGCCTGGAGCCTGCTTCGGATTCTGTGTCTGCCTCTCTTTCTGCCCCTCCTCTGCTCACACCCTGTCTCTCCCTCTCTCTCAAAAATAAATAAACATAAAAAAATTTTTTTAACCAAAGTTTCTTTTTTTTTAATTCAAGTATAATTAACATACAGTGTGCTACATTACTTTCACATGTACAGTATGATTTCCCTGATGAGGTAAGAATATACAATGGAAAAAAGACAGTCTCTTCAACAAATGGTGTTAGGAAAACTGAACAGCTATATGCAAAAGAATGAAACTGGAGCACTTTCTTACAGAATACACAAAAATAAACTCAAAATGGATTAAAGACCTAAATGTGAGATCTGAAAGTTCCTAGAAGAAAAGACAGGCAATAATTTCTCTTGACTTCAGCCACAGCAACATTTTCTAAACATTTTCTAAACTGAAGCAAGAGAAACAAAAACAAAACTAAACTACTAAGACTACACCAGAATAAAGCCTTTTGCACAGTGAAAGAAACCATCCACAAAACAAAAAGGCAATTAACTGAATGAGGGAAGACACTTGCGAATGATATATCTGATCAGGGGTTAATATCCAAATTATATGAAGAACAACTATAATTCAACACCAAAAATAATTAATAATAATTCAACACCAATAATAATAATCCACTTAATAATAGGCATAGTACCTGAAGAGACATTTTTCCAAAGACATACAGATGCCAACAAACACATGAAAAAGATGCTCAATGTCACTAAAAGCATAGGTTTTTGAAACCCTGCTCTGCCACTTTTTGCATGAGCTCAAACAAGATCATTTGCCTTTCCTAAATCTCCATTTTCTCTTTTGTAAGGGGAACAATTGCATAAGAAGGGCTACTGTGGGGATAAAATGAGAAATCTAGCATAACACCTAACTTAATAAACAATGATATAATTATTATAAATCAAAACAACCTATTATTTCAATATTTAATCACCTCCGTTTTGAATTTCTGCCTGAATTAGCTCTTGTTTCAATTCTTCAATTTCTTTCCTTAATTTAGCATTTTCAACTCGAAGTTTCTTCTCTTCTCTCAAAGTTGCCTGCAAAACTAGGATCAAGAAAATCCAATAAAGATATAGCCATGTTTTCTAAAAGGTTTCTTATGAATACTATTTGAAAAGAGCATAGCAGTATAAACACAATTAAGATAATATCAGTAAACAAATATTTGTCTATTCCTTTATATCAGTTTAGAATTTATTAAACTACAAAAACGGTAAAAAATCTGTGAAATAATAACAGAACAGAAAAGTTTTGTTTATGGGGCACCTGGGTGGCTGTCAGTTGAACATCCAACTTTGGCTGATGTCATGATCTCACAGTTCATGAGTTCAAACCCCACGTCCAGCTCTGTGCTGACAGCTCAGAGCCTGGAGCCTGCTTCAGAATCTGTGTCTCCCTTTTTCTCTGATACCCCCTACCCTGCTTATGCTCACTCTCTCACTCTCAAAAACTGAATAAAAATTTAAAAATAAATTTTTTTAAGTTTTGTTTATGAATCATTTTTCTAGCTTCCATAATGATGCTAATGACAAATCAATAATACATAAACTATCAAAATGAGACAAATATTAAATACATTATTATTTCTTTAAGCTGGAGATCTAATGATAGCAAACCATAAAAAAACTATTCTCACTTCTTTCTTTTTAATCATTACCTTGTAAAAGTACAATCTGTTATTCTTTTTTTCCTAATTTCTCAGAGGTTGAGCTGGCCTGCCAAATATTTAGTGAGTGAAATAGCTTCAAAGATTTGCTCAACATATAATATGTGCGTTAAAGGTGAGCAACAGGATATACAAAAGAATAAAAACAAAACAAAACAAACAAACAAAAAACAATGATTCTCAGTGGGGTTAGGACTGCTCCGAGGTAGGAGTCTTAAAATCTGTGGGAGTATTTTGGGGCATTTATTGGGCAGAAGTCAGGGATGCCAAATGTCCCGAAACATGCTAGATACACTCATAAAATGAAGAGCTGTTTCACATTCTGCAGAATTTTCCACTGACCGATTGTACATCTGTGTAGGTGAAAATCCTGTTAATCATTTGAGCCTAGATCCTATGTTTTATATATAAACACAAAATATTATTAAACATTTTCATCACACCCTGAATTTTTTATAAATCAAGTATCATATAAATCAAGAATAAACTATTCTTTGCTTTGTTCACAGCCTTACCCGAAGAATTATTCATCATTCTGAGTAAATCAAAAACATAACTGAAAGCTGCTTCTGCTATCGGAGTTGCTAACATAAAGGCAGACTAAATAAACACTCATATCAATTAGCATTATATCTGTTGCATTCTTGGTGATTCTATGTATGTGAATCATACAGCATATGACTTTCTCCTATGTCTGGTAATACCATCCACCTAAGAATTTACTTACTAAAATACGTATTTTTATTATTACTACCATTTATAAATTACTTTCTTTTTTAATTTTCCTGTGTATTATATACATGATTAATGTATGGTTTGAAATTATGTGTATAGGTAGGTTATTTTATCTAAAAAATATTTTATTTACAAAACATTAAGAGATTTTATGAAATATTTATTGCAAAACAGGAACAATGGGACTGGGAAGCATCAGGATAGGCTACCAAAAAGTAAAAATGATAAAGGTGAAGAATAAACACGCACTAAGGGTAGAAAGTTTCCTTTTTCTTTTAATTAGCAAAATTAAAATGTTAGTCAAGTTGTTAACAGGCACCCATATGAGAAAAAATTCACAGAAGAGATTAGAGATCATCTCTAATCTCTTTATCTTACTAATGGAAAGAAATATTAAAAACTTTAAGAAAAATAACAAGAAAAATCCTTTAAGAATTTTAAGAAAAATAAGAAAGTTTATAAAACATTATAAAAAAGACATAATTAAAGCAGTATTTTAAAATAAAGAAAAAATATCCTGAAGAGTAAATGTACAATTCTGTAAGCCATTCACAATCTTACACAGCAAAGAAAAGCATTTCTTAAATTTTTTTTTTTTCAACGTTTATTTATTTTTGGGACAGAGAGAGACAGAGCATGAACGGGCGAGGGGCAGAGAGAGAGGGAGACACAGAATCGGAAACAGGCTCCAGGCTCTGAGCCATCAGCCCAGAGCCCGACGCGGGGCTCGAACTCACGGACCGTGAGATCGTGACCTGGTTGAAGTCGGACGCTTAACCGACTGCGCCACCCAGGCGCCCCGAAAAGCATTTCTTTAGTTATGGTAAAAGACTTAGGAATTTTCGTCACACCATTAACATGGACTATTGAGAAATAAAATATACTTAACAAAATTCAACCTAAATCCTAAAAGGAGAAATTCAGTTGATATTTTTGTACTTATCATAGCAATTTCTAGGTAAAATTTAAAGACATATTGGAAAAACGTAAAAATCATTTCAGAAGATGCCTCAGTAGAGGGTAATATGAGTATATATTTTCACAGGAGATATCTGAGTTCATATTTGATTTTACCCAATTTTCTTCATTTTACTCTCCAATTCTATATCAACTTTTTTTAAACATGAATTTTCCTTTAGCACTCTTAAAATAATACACTGTTTTCCTTATATTACATTCACTACATATGAATTTTAATTTATCTTAATCCCAAAATATTTTACTCAAAATTAAAATGTTAAAGGAATCTAAGTTATCATCAAGATGATGAAATAATATTTACGGGGTAAACACAGTTTTTGTGCTGTCAATATGTGAATTCCTTTTAAGTATCTCCTCAGAAAATGTAAAATCTCTTACTTGCTTTCTCCTTAAGAAGAGCAACTTGCTGCTTTAAATATTCAATAATTTGATCTGCTTCTGCACCCTTCTGTTCCAGTCTCTTCAGAACAGCACCATTAGTTGCCATTTTTTTAAAGATACGGCAGAAAATCCTAAGTGAAAAAATAAGTGATAAGTTATACCACAGAAGGAATAAAATTTATTGTACAGAACACTAAGCAAGCAGTTTGAAAGGAAAAACATCTTCCAGTTTAACAGATCAATATACTAGAAAACTACATTTCCTATACTTTTCCTCCAGAGCAACAAACCGAATAAATGGCAGAAACATTAAATGACTAACTCCTCAATATGTTTGGAAGAGGGAATCAATTTTCTTTGCCTAAATGCAAAAAACATGCTATTTCACATTTTAGGCTGGAAAATTTTAAAGAAACTTTTAAAATACAGCAGAGTATTATAACACAAAACAGGAAGACTAAGGGAAAAGAATAACAATAACCTTAACCAAGCTGTAACTGAGTGCCACTCCTGTGTTCCAAAGTTAAGGATTGCTGAATTCCCTTTTTATATGCTACTTTTAGATACTGGATATTTCTACCGCTTATTTAACTATGTACAAATGTAAGGAGGAATATGTGACTTAGGAAAGACAAAAGAAAAAGATCAACAATTAGGAACATATCAATATTAAAGACATGCCTACTCGGAAATAATGTCAGCATATATACTGTGACTCTTATTAAAGAAAATAATTAGAATTTTAATTTCATAATAATTTACAGAAATTAGAAAACATCCTGTCAGTGTTCAGAAAAATGTGTATATGCAAGCATTCTGAGATTAACTCATAACGTTAAAGTTTAAACTGCCAAATATTAAAACAGTCACACTAACAAAAGACAAGATAAATCATTAATACTACAAATTGCTCTTTTTTTACCTGATTAACTTTAATTTATAATACAAAACATAACAATGACACAAGCGCTGCTGAAGTAATTCTGATTTTAAATAAGTGATACACAATAAAATGGTGAAATTTTTTGATAAAGGAAAAAATTGGCTAATAAAGGACAAATAATGTAAGATGTTTGAAAATTTCAAATTATGCAATATCCATCCTATAAAAAGGACATTCTGAAATCTTTACCTTTTTATTAAAAGAGAAACAATCCTCAAAAAACTTTTACGCTAAAGTTAACAATTTATAAATAGAATGACTAAAAAAAACTGATAAAAATAAAGTTGCTAATAAATGAAGAAAATACAAATGCGGTTAATCTGAGAAAGTCATAATAAACCTCTCATTTTCTATACGGACTATTATTTAACAATTTAAAAAATACAGAGCATTTTGGTACAAAAATTGAAAATGAAGATATTAACTTTTTAATTCAGCCAATTTTTACCAACATAAACACAGAATACCCCGTTGCTCCTCAAATGTTTTTTTTCTTTTTAGAATTTTAGAGAAAAATACATATGAACATATGAAGAAAGTTAAGGTAAAAACAGCTTGTTCTTTTGGACTTTTAGTATCCTCCTATTAGCATTCTTTCAGTTTAATGTTTACTTTAGTCTAACATAATAATCAAATATATTCAATAGGTGAAATAGCTAGCCCAAGAAAAATAATGAGTATTTGATTTAGCATAATTTGTTAACTTTTACTTTTGTAGCAAAAAAAAAAAAAAAAAAATTTGATGAGTTAATACCAAAATAAATGTGACATTAGTGATATGCCTTAGAAAAATCCCCAGTAAATGAATATCTTAACTCATAAGAAATAACTATAAGTATAAAATAGTTGTCATGAATTTGTCTACTGGTACAGAAGTTATCTCACAAATACCAGCCAAACATGAAACTCCTGTCCTGACTCACAGAAAAAGTTTCAAAACTAACAATAATTTGCAAAATAGAGATCATAAATCCCACCGAAGACAGAAAAAAGATATTTTACTGAGTTGATAAATCTATTAACTATCTACGAAATCGTTATAAAAATGAGTTAAATAAAATATCACTTTTGTAATACATACTGAAGCACCAGCGTAACTTTAGTAAGAAAGAATGCTTAAAACATAAACACAAATGAGCTGAATATACTAAATATATATATAAAACCACTAGAGAAAACAATGGGATAAAAAGAAGTAACACTTTGAATGATACTGATAAAATATATATATATATATCAATGCTTTATGTATTTATTACATAAATTATAAAAGAAGCATAATTTATATACTTGGCTATAACTTTACTATTATAACTTTAGATTAAGGTCTAACTTTAAATCATGAAATAAAACTAGGACTGAGACATCACTTGAAACATTCAGTAAAAATGGATTCATTTTTAGGTTTTTGGGTTTTTTTTTTTTTAATGTTTTTTATTTTTGAGAGAGAGACAGAGACAGAACACGAGCTGGGGAGGGGCAGAGAGAGAGAGAGGTAGACACAAGAACTGAGTGAGGTAGGCTCTAGGCTCTGAGCTGTCAGCACAGAGCCCGAAGCAGGGCTGGAACTCATGAACCACAAGATCATGACCTGGGCTGAAGTCGGATGCTCAACCAACTGAGCCACCCAGGTGCCCTGTAAATGGATTCATTTTTAATCAAATAATTGTACAAATAAAATATGAAAAATAAAGAGAAAACATGTTAGTAACAAAGAGAAATGTTACTGAAAAGACATATATAGGACATGAAGTCTTAAAATGTTGAGAACAGAGAGATGACAGTGATCCTAATAAACCACTCGTATATAAAGTAACTATGGATGACAGAAGCCATCTCAAATTTCCTGATAGGTATTGTTGAGTAATAATATCTAGTGCTTACTTTGTCTTTAGTAACTGCCAGGTCTTTTTCTCAGCACCTCACAATATTAACTTAATTATCACAACACCATGAGATACATATTATTATTATTCCTTCTTCTTGTTTACAATATTAAGAACTTTTTACAAGAGTATGAAATAAAAGTAATTTAATAACAGGAACATGGATTTGCAAATCACAAGACCTTGGATCAAATCCTACCCTTTGCCTCCGAATCAACTTACCTAACCTCTCTGAGCCAAAAGTTTTCTCATTTGTAAAATGGAGATAATTTCATGTATCTCATAGCATTGATATGTGGCAAAATAAGATACCATGAATAATATTCAATATTTCTGGCAAGTGGTAAAAAATGTCAGGCACTGAGCAAAATTCTGGTCACACAAAAAAAGATAGGATATATGTACAAACCTCACCTTCAAGAAGCTCCCAATAGTGTAGGCTACCGATGAGCATGATATTTTGTAGATCTTTAGGTAAATGATTTTTGTTTTCTTAAAGGTTAAGAACATAATAATAAAAATACAAATTATAGATTGATATCAAAAATACATTTAGATAATTTGGCTAAGCCATACCTTAATTTCTTTGTGAGTGGTGGTATACAGTCTATGGGGGTAATAAATATTAATTTATTTACATTAATTGTGAATTTTGTTTATAATAGTATATAAAATATACCTAGAGACTCCTGTCCTCAGGAATACAAGACAACAGCCAACTGAAATCTTTGCACTTTCCCCTACAAACAGATATTGCCATTGTAATTACAGAAACTCTAAAACTAGATTTAAGATTATTTAAACAAATGGTGCACAAAAAAGGAATACTGAATGGCTTATAGATTTCAGTTTGAACACCTTGTGAAAGTCTTCTAAGAAACTAGTATTAATGGTTCTCAACTCTAGCTCAAAAGGCAAAGCAGTCCGACACAAGCCATACATGCCATTTTGCCAAAGGCACACAAATGGCCAAGAATACCAAGAGAAAAATTGTCTTATGAAAATTATGTAAATTGTTTTGGTTTAAGGAAAAGAAAAAAGGAATAAAAATTCACTGAATACTTTCTACTCACAATTTTGCTATGAACCTAAAACTGCTCTAAAAAATAGTCTTAAGAAAATTCACTGAACAGCACACTTAAGAATGCATGAATTTAAAACCTGAAAATACTCTACATCCTAATTACTTATGACAAAGGCTTTATTTGGTTATGCAATAATTAATAATATCCCAACATTTACAACACATATCACCTAATGATAGGTTACTTGTAACTATTTTAACTGCCACAAATATCAATAACATCATTACAAAGGAAGTCTCATTAAGAGAGAAAGTATCTTTTGCTAGCACAGTCATGTTTCCAGCAATAATCAAGTTTTCTTGACAAAATAAAACTTAGGAGCGACTATAAAACACACTAGCTGTTTTAACCAGCATCTATTTTTTTCTTTACTCCTAGGTTATCTTGGCAATATTACTCATGATGTGAAAATTAACCTGTCCTTTGAGATATTCTGGATTAGTTAGAAAGACAAGTCTATATGTTGAACAAAATCTTCCTCAAATGCTAAGAGCTATGTATTATTTTTGAATTAGAAGCTCTGGGAATAGGTTTTCTAGTACTTGTTAATTAACTTTAAACTTTTCAAAAATATAAGTATGATGCATAAATTTATGTCCATATTTTATAGTAATATGTAGATATTGATCACTCGCACCAGCAGAAAAGTAGTTGTCTTTTTTTTCCCTTACAGTATTTATAGCTAACTAATCTTGGTTGAATCACATACTTAACAGCTTGTGTGATCTTGGTCAAGTTACTTAACTTCTCTGTTTCATTTTTTAAATTTATAATGAGGATAATTTCACCTGATTTCACTTTCTATTCCTTGGCACCTCCTTTTAGGGATCCTTTTTCTTGACTTGTTCCTTTTATGTTTTTCAGGGTTTGGTCCTGATTTCTAGTCTCTTCTAAGGATTGCAAACTATTACCACCACACAAAGCAGGGATCCCTTTGTGTTCCAGGGTTAACAATGTTTGAAACAGCTGAAGGTTTAAGCAAGGCAAAACAGACTGAACAACTCTCTGCTGTCTGCCACTTATGCCACCTGCCAGGTCCCTATAAATAACTTACGTTCATGACCCCAATTTTACTTATATTTCCTGATTTTGAGTCGTGTGCTGGGTTTATAGTAGAGAGCAAAATTAAACATATTCTTTGTATTCACTAAGCTTTCAAACAAATGAGGGAAAACACCGTAAATTAGAAAAAAAATTTAAATGAGGTTAAGTTTAGGGCAACAGTGCTAGTTTAATAAAAACACTGCTTAAAGCTTGGACAAATCTTGTACCATTCAACCCAGTGCTCATTTCATTATCATGTGCCAAGTGCTCCACAGTGACTTTCAATTTTACACGGTATTTTACATGGAGTACCTACTGAATTTCGTAACTTTAAGCTTCCTTTGTCTCCTCAAAGCTTTTAATGTGCTAATAGGCTTAGATTTTCTCACAGATAATGCTAATAATAATTTTTTTAAGTTTATTTACTTATTTTGAGAGAAAGCAAGTGTGAGCAGGGGCAGGAGCAGAGAGAGGAGAGAGAAAGGATTCCAAGCAGGCTCCCCACTGTCAGTGTGGAGCCAGATGTAGGACTCTATGCCATGACCTTAGCATGACCTTTAAAACCTAAAAATATTCTACATCCTAATTACTTATGACAAAGGCTTTATTTGGTTATGCAATAATTAATAATATCCCAACATTTACAACATATATCACATAATGATAGGTTACTTAGCCCAAATCAAGAGTTAGACGTTTAACCAACTGAGCCACTCAGGTTACCCAATAATAATAATAATGTTAATAACAGATAACATTTTAGAGTATTTATTATGGGCTGGCTAAATGCTTTACATAGATCATCTATGAATACTCTATAATTACTTCCATTATACAAAGAAGAAAACTTGAATTAAAATTAGTTTGCCTTAGGTCATGTGACTAGTTAGTAACAGGATTAAAACTTAGGGTCGGTCTGATTCTGCAGTTAGCTCTTTTAATATTGAAGCTCGAATTTCTATAAAAGACATAATTCTGTAGAGTTTCCCAATGTATTTAACCACAAAATCCTAACCAAGGAGCACCTATAATAGAACTAATATCCTCTAAAACATTTTGGGAATACTGGCTTAATCTGTACTAAATTGTATTTAATGATTAGGAGATTAAAATACACATAATAATTGCATGCATAGTAATTACAAATGCAAAACACATAGAAAAAAAGAGAAAACAGTACATGAGTACATAAACTGGGTTTGGATAGTAAGTTTCTGGATAGTTTAGATAGACTTTTCTTCTTCCTTTACTAATTTTAAAAAATAATGAATTTATTTTATAACAAAAAGCATTTGAAAAGTATTATCTAAATTATTTTGCCTTTAATTTTGTTTATAATATTCATTATGGGTCATTAAATCTAAAAAGCCATTGTAAGATGCTGCTATTCATTAAAGCTGTTGCTGATTTTAGGAAATACATGAATTTAAACTACATCTTAATCATTAAAACATATACAAAGGTTATTTCTGAGATTCCTATCATTGCCAAATGGCTTCCCTATACCTCAGTAGTCTTTCCCCACTCTGATTCTAAATTGTCAGTAACTTCTTTTAAATAACAAATTCCCTGCCCCGGCTTTTCAATGTTAGGAACCAAATATAAACAAATAAGCTATTGCTTTGAAATGGAAATTTTAAGTGCAAGTTTTCAATTTTATTTTATAGTATAGGAATTCTACAAAAATTTGGAAGGGTCTCTCTACTTCCCAAACACTTGATTTCACTGTTTCAGAACTTCAACTAGGTAAAAGTTTATGTTCTTCTTAAACACTCTAAGTACTGTATTTCATAAAATCTAAGATGCCACCAATTGTAAAATGGCTCCATTCATAAGATGCTCTGGCATTTTATGTACCATTAAGAAAAAAACCACACACCCTGCATCATTTGAAAAATCTCTTTTAAATTTAGCCCTATTTTTATCTTATGTCACTCTTTTGTTTCCCCTTATCTGTGTATACACAGTGACTTTTCATTTTAATGGTAAATCTGCATATAAAGGATACTTAAAATGGAGATTAAAGCCAACAACTACATACCAACACTACACGTAACCAAACTGATGACAATATTAACCATAATGACCAAGTCTGCATTAAGTACAGGCACTGACAACTATGTTGCAAGTGCCACTTAGTTCATAGTGACTTTAAGACATCAATAATTGTGAAATGTAAATGTGAGAAAAACATGTATATCAGAATAAACTATAGTGATTTTAATTAATTTTTTCTCTCCCTTTCTACCACCATTCTTATTCTAACCTTCTAATCTTCATTCCTCCATTTGCTTCATAATCTAACTGCCAAATCACCCCACAAGAACATTTTTATTACCGTGCTACATAAGGGATACTTTTTAGAACAAAGTTAGTACCTGTACTAGGATTTAAAACCTGTCAAATGTAAGAATTTTTAAAAAGGTATATAATAAAATTAAATATTTTGAGAACAATCCCTCCCAGAGACACTCAAACTACAATAGCAGTGGTAACTGGCAGTAATTCCATGAGTATTTTTGCAACCTTTGCCAAAATATTGAAAACAGACCTAAAACTATGCTTTTTGTGAATGTTTATTTATTTGGCGTGTGGTCAGGGCACGAATTCAAATTCTAACTTGGCCATTCATCAGCTGTGTCACTGTTTTTATTTAAAAAATTTTGAGGTGGGCCACCTGGCTGGCTCAGTCGGTTAAGCCTCCAACTTCGGCTCAGGTCATGATCTCACCACTCCTGAGTTCGAGCCCTGCATCGGACTCTGTGCTGACAGCTCAGAGCATGGAGTGTGTTTCCGATTCTGTCTCCATCTCTCTCTGACCCTCCCCGCTTGTGATCTGTCTCTGTCTCTCTCAAATATAAATCAACATTAATTTTTTTTTTTTTTTTTTAATTTTTGAGGTATAGGGGCACCTGGGTGGCTCAGTCGGTTGAGCGTCTGACTTCAGCTCAGGTCATGATCTCACGGTCTGTGAGTTCAAGCCCCACGTCGGGCTCTGTGCTGACAGCTCAGAGCCTGGAGCCTGCTTCAGATTCTGTGTCTCCCTCTCTCTCTGCCCCTCCCCTGCTCATGCTCTGTCTCTCTCTCTCTCTCTCTCTGTCAAAAATAAATAAACGTTAAAAAAAATTTAAATTTTTGAGGTATAACTAACACATTAGTTTTAGATGCACGTGATTCGATACTTATGTGTACTGCAAAATGATCACATTAGTCCAGTTAACGTCCTTCACCATAGTTACCAAAATTTTTTTCGTGTAATGAGAACCTTCAAGATCCACTCTTCTAGCTACTTTCAAATATTCAATAGAGAATTAACCATAGTCACTGCTTTGTATGTTATATCTCCGTGACTTACTCATTTTAAAACTGGAAATTTGTTTTTATTCTTGATTGTTTTTCTTTACTTACTGGAGTGCCTTCTTCCTCTTTACTAATAAGGGCACAAGGAGTCTTGGGGGACTTGAGGGATGGCTATGAGAAGACAGTCCATACATTTCAGGTGTTACGGCGATTGACACAGAAAATCTTCCTGTCCAGTGAAATATGCATAAAATTTAAAAAAGGGTATGTCTAGGCCTCTCATGGCCTTCTTAGCAAACACCAAGGTCACCTTTTACCTGATTCAGAATTTCTTCAGTAGGGTTTAACCATCCCTTTACATTCAAAGAAGCACTCAGCAATATCTTACTCCCATTTCCTATCCAAGAACACAGCTAATAACAACCACCACTATTTTAATGAGCCAAGCATATTACATATGGAGCCCTTTAAGCTTTTCAACCGTGTGAGATAACATCTCCATTTTACAGAAAAAGTCAGAAAGTATGACTTGTCTAAATCCATTCAAATATTAAATGGCAAAGCTCTGATTTTAACTTGTGTTAAAACTCACACTACACTTCATTTTCAAAGTGTTTCCCAAATCTAATTAGAGAAAATTAACTTACTACCCACCAATATTCTTATCCATCTAAATTAAGGGCACTAAGAACCTGACCATCCATTTCTCACCACCCTTACTCAAGCTACCATGTCTCCTCTACCATGTCTACTAAAAAAGCCTCCAAACTGGTCTTTCTTCTACCCTGTCCCTTTCAATATATTCTCCACAGCAGCCAGTAAGATCCTCTTTTTAAAAGGAAGCCAGATTATGTCGTCTACTGCTCAAAAGTCTCCAATAGCTTAGATGCCCTCAGTATCTTTCATGATCTGTTCCTTCTATGACTTTGTCTCTAGCTTTAATCCCTTAACTCAACTCCAACCCACAAGCTTCCTTGCTATTCAGGAGAGTTTATGTTTCATGGCATCAACTAGCAATAACTGTTTATGGCTGGTTCCTCTACCTGACTGCACTTACCCCAGACACTTGTATGGTTAATTCTCTGACGTCAGCTCTGGCTTGAAAGTTGTCTTTCAGGGAGACTTTCCCCGGCCACACTAATATTTCAAACTACATCCTCCTCTGCTTTATTACTTATCCCTTAAGCGCCCATTACGACCTGCAATAGAACATGTTTTTCTTAATTCTGTTTAGGATGTCTTCCTCAATAAAATGCGAACTACAGGAAGACAGGGGTTTCTGTTTTGTCCATCGTTCTGTTCCCAATGCCTAAAACAGTACCACAAACATAGTGGGCGCGTAACTAACTGAATGACTTCCTGACCCACCCCCACCCCTTTCACATACACCGGCGCGCGCGCACACATGTAACTAAACGTGTTTGTGAATATATCTTTTCCAGTAGCAGCCTTTCCGTCAGCCCCGCATCCCGTTTCTCAAACTTGGTTCCTTCAAGAGGTACCAAGCTGTTCCTCTTGGCTGTGGTACTTCCACATGCCAAGACTGGTGCTGGTATAAGCGTACTTCCCACCGGTATTCGGAGGCTAGGTCCTATCTCCCCAAGATGAGTAAGGGAAGGAGGACTCTCCTTTGATCTCAACACGCCTAACCCCGGACCCTGTCAGGGAGTCACTCACATCAATCGGTGGACAGAGCAACCTGGAGAGCTTCACCGGGTAGCCTCAGTCTTCAGCAATTAGGGGCACCGTCCCGCACCCGACGGCAGTGAGAAAGGACCCAACGAGGTGTCCTCACCAAACGCCTGAGCGTTCCACCGATTTAACGTCAAATTCTGTCGCCCCCTTCCCGGGCGTAACCGCAGCACGCTGTCCGTCTTCTATTTCCTCAGCTAATAACTTGAACTCCTCTGCACCTCTTCCTTGGTAGCTACATTGTGTCGCCGGTTGGGTAAGGGGCAAAACGCCGGACGTCGGGTCTTTCCTCCATGTTGTGTCGTGGAGGTTGTGAGGTCAGAGGAAACGGCCGGGCTGAATCGAGGGCGGGGGTGGGGAGAGCTGGGAGCTGTCATTGGAGCGGGTCTGGCTCGCGCTCCCGGCCAGATTCCGAGCCGGGAATTTCGGCGGATTTAGCTCGCAGGCAAAACGCAATCCCAGCGCTCCCGGAGCGGCCTCTTTTGTAGAAGCACCTGAGATGCTGGGTGTGGTGCACTAAACGGTAGCGGCAGCAGCAGCCACAGCAAGCTGGGGCCCTGTGTAGAAGCTCCATCCCCTTGTCTCTGTGCCCGCCTGACTCAGAGGCAGGTATTTGGGTTCGTCAGTTTTGTGTGTCGTAGTGGGTGGGGCCGGTGGGAGGTAGAGGAATGTCAGGTGCAGCGAGTGGCCCAGTTTGTCCGCAGTAGAGGAGCCAACCTTTGGAGCTGCTTGCTACTGAGTCCTGTGCCCAAATGGAGCTAATGTCCGCCTTCCTTCCTACACACGTTTACCCGAGTCCTTTGAGAACTGTAGGCAGATGTTTAAGAGTAACCACTGCATCACTGCTTCGAAGGAAGATTTAAAGAGGCGTTGGAGAATGTAGATTCAGTTCTCCATTACTCACCATAGATGCAAAGTCTTGGTTTTGTTTTTGTTTTTCAAAGGTTTAGTCATTTGTCGAGACATAACGTTCCCTTGTGGAATGGGGGAATGTGAACAACTGGAAGTTCCTTTAGAATTGCCAGTGGTTTCTTTTCAAGGCCCCTTGGTTCCTGTTTTTGTTTGGGACAGAAAGACAACTTTTTGAGGGAAAGTATATAAAATAAATGAGCTAGTGTTATTCGCCCGTTGAAGAAATGTGTGAATTATTTTATTCATGATGAAATCGGTATCTTTTGTACTATTTTTTTGACCTTCGCCCCCCGACCTCCAATCTGATTTTGACTCCCAAGTTCTTTCTGGGTAGGGATTGTGTCTCGTTCACTGTCGTTGGCCCTGAAGCTGGAAAAACACCTGAGTTAAAATAGGTTCAAGATATTGGTTGAATGAATGAATTTTCAAACCCCATTCCTACGTTGTATTTCCTCAACTAATCTCTCTCTCAACTTCAACTGTTTTTTTTTTTTTTTCACTAGCTTTCTTTCATTCACCAAGTGTGAACAAATCTATGTGTATTTTTTATATGTGAAACTTTTTATGTGCACTCATCTATATGAGTGCTTGGTAGTTGAAGGAGAACATTGATGAAATATTTTACACTAACTCGTGTCTTATCTTTTTGAATCATTTGCGTTTCTTTGTTTGGTTCTTTGCTTTTCAGTTGTCTGATAGTCTAATTGAAAATCAAATAGCGGGGCGCCTGGGTGGCGCAGTCGGTTGGGCGGCCGACTTCAGCCAGGTCATGATCTCGCGGT